TATTATTCAGTATTAGTATTTTAAATAAGAAAAATTGTTTTGAATGTCAACATCTGCTCTTAACCCTCTCTTTAAAGCAGGAACATTGTGTTTGAAAACAAACAGGATTGGAATGCCTGAACACCCCTCCTTCTTCTGCTCTGTGTATCCAAATATCCCTTCCAGTGTTTACTTATTGCACATTCTGCTCCATCATTTGGTGGTTTTAAGGTGCTGTGGATTACCAAAACCTGAGGAGTTATTAGACCTGCTCAGCTTTGTCATAACAAATCGGATAGGCACTGATCTTACCCTTTTGAATCATTAGCTTGAGAAGTGTAAATGCCACTATATTCTGGATAAATTACTTGAAAAGATTATTTTGAAAAAGATTAGCCAGCTTTAAGATGAACTGTTCCCTGCTCAGTAGTAGTGATGATGGTACTAATGATAACAATAAACTAACTACAGAATTTAGCTGGTCTCAGTCCAGTAAAATATTTAAGCCCAAGCATAACTTTCCTTTGCAGCAGGGCTGAGCACAGCCTGCAGCTCTTTGCTCTATTGCTGCTTGACTCCAGCATGTGCTGCTCCTGATTTTTATTTGAGTTAAGCTGTTTCCGGGTTTGACCATGGAATAAACCTTTAGGATTAGCAGATTCTGAGGAATTGCTAATATATTAATTATCCAGCATAATTCAGGGTGTTGCCACAACAGCTGAGTGGTGTTACTGCCCTGATTATTTACTACATATTTTACAAAGTTGTTGGTCTCTCCTTGCCACTGCTTAAGCTCCTTTACTCTTGTGCTGCCTGAGGGAAGAGGATCCACAGCTGCGAGTGGAGACTTTGACCTTGGAGGAAGAGTGTGGAGGTACCAAGCCTGGTGACATTACTGTGAATATTACTGTGAACCTTTCCAGAAATGCAGGGGGTTTTCCTAAAGCCTGAGCAGTTGTAGTTGTGCTATTTCTTTGAAGTCATGCTTTTATTATACCAAAAATACACCCCAGTACATTGCTTCTCTAAAGAGGTGAAAACCCACGTTTCTGGTCTTCATGATGTGGTGGAAGAAAGCTTAAAACACAATGTGGTTATTGTGTCATAGGCTTCAAAATCGAAAAACACATAAAAAATCTTCTGTATTTCTTAATAATTTTTCAGGGTTTTCAAGCCAATTTCAAGCCTTTCTGGGACCTGACAGGTTTTGAGCACTTTGTTCTTGGTAATTCCTTGAGGCCCTGAAGCCTAGCTTATGGGGGATCAGATTTCTATAGAACTTTACAGAAATTCATTCTTCCTTGCTGTGCTGAGCATTATAGAAGCACCTCACAAGAACAGGTAAGGGCTTCAAAGTCTTTGCCATTAAAATGACAGCCAAAGAGCAGGAAACACAGCTGCAGCAGGTTTTATCAGCTCAGACCCCACTTTGCAGCATTCATGTAGGAGCAGAGCCCTAAAGCAGCACCCAGCTCTTCCATGCACAACTCAGAGATGCTGCCTCTCTGAGCTTCAGGCTGCTGGGGGATTTCTCCAGGCTCAATCCTTCCACTCCTCTGTATTTGCAGCCATCTGAGAGCACCAGCAAGCAGGGGGGAACAAAGATCCCCAGCAGGCCCCTGAGAGTCCTGGCTTTCCAACTGGACTCCTTGGGTTATTCTGAAACACCTACAAATACGTGAGGATCCTGCCATTGTCTCAACTGGTCTTTGAATCAGGGGCTCTTAAACAGAGGATATGCCATTCTTCTTTTGTTCCACGCTTCCATAATGTTCTTAAAAGAAAAGGAAGGCAAAAAGAAAACCCCAAGTAAAAACCAAACTTAAGATATGCCGTCAGCTTTACCTCAACAGCCAGAGGTGGAAGGGATGGTCAGCCAAGATTAAAGTCCTAAGCTTTGTGATTTCTCCCTGTGAGTTATGGCTGCATGTCAGCAGCAGTAAGTAAAGCAAAATGCAGTAGCTAGACTTGTGTTCTGCTCAATTGCCTGAGGCTCCAGCTGAAATTTAATAAGCAAATGCAAGATTTTAGTGCTTTGGAATGGAAAGTTGATGGTAACTTCTTTCTGCAGCCCCTGTTTAAGTGATGTATCACATGTATGGCTTGTGCAGTGCACCTTGGATGAATCCAGCTCTGCTGTTGTGCTGCTCCTCTCCCAGGCTGTAGGCAGGTAAATATTCAGGTCACAGAGCAAGCTGGTACTGAATGCAGTTATGGCTGGGATATCTTCCCTGCAGCTCCATTCACATGGATTAGGAGAATCCCAATGGCTGTGGCAGGTGAGACAATCTGTACTGACTTTTTTGAAGTCAGGGGGTTACCAAGTCATGCTCAGGGTTGGCTTATGGAGCATAGATACTTTGGGGCATTCTTCAGATTTGAAAACACAAAGTTCTTCTTTGGAATTCTCTGAAATTATTAATCTTGTTTTAATTATTTTTTGAGACACAAATTTTTATTGCTCACGTCCAACTCACTAGTGAGGATGGAGAACCCTTTCATGGGAAAATGAGAAAAGCTCCTTATTTTAAATATCCATTACTTCTGTTCCCTGCTCAGGAATGGGTGAGGAGCGCATGCTCTCCTCTGCTGCCAGCTTCTGTTTTGCTGTATCTGTTATTTTACAGTTTCTTCACTATGATGGCTCACAGAAACTTGTCAGCTGTTCCTCATCTCTCTCCAAGCATGAAAATCTAGTCTTGAGGGGTGTGTTTAGAATCAGATCATATCAGGAGCTGTTGGCAGGAGTGCACTGGGATGGCAGAGGGAGCTTTACCCTTTTCCCAGCTCCCTGCTACTGTTTCCCATTAGTACCAGCTGGCAGAGCCCATTTGTCAGGGATTTTCTGTGTGTTACTCAATACCTCCAATATCCATGGCTGTCTTTAGGAGATGAGGAGGCTGAACAGCTCTCAAGAAGTGGTGAATTCAGCCTAACCAGGTAAAAATAAAAGGATCCTCTTTACCTCACACAATTGACTAACCCAACTTTGTCCTTCCACCACGTGCAGGTGATGTGCAAAGGGGCAGGAAAGCATGGAGACCTCCCTCTAGGGAAACACATCAAAACTGGCCATGATCTTTGTGCTCCTTGGTACCTCTTGCACGGTTTTACCAGGATAGGGCCCAAGTTGAGGTTGTCTCACTGTGCATATACAGCCAGTGAGGACAGAAATTACATAAACTCTTTCAAAAACCGTGTTTCTGTTTCAGCAAAGTCTTTCAAGTTCAGTCACTGAAAGGTCCCCCATGATAATAAACCCCTGTTCATTCCTTTTGCCTTCTCATGCGTGTGTTTATTTCTGTTTGCTCCTTTCTTTTATGCAGATGGCAGATAACTCTTGTCAGTGCTTTTTTGGCTTTGCAGCCTTTTCTCAATCATCTTTCCTTTTGTATCTCCAGCAATGTGAAAATCTGGTGGTTTGCTATTTCTGCTAAGCGTATTTCTTTTCCATGCTGTCTCATTGTCTCAGTCTTGTGCTTTTTTGCTGGGTGAAAGAAGAGACAAATTTCCAGTAGGCAAAAAATAAACCAGCCCCAGCTCATGAAAAAAAATGAACCCTTTTTAATCACTGCTATAAAATGTAATGGTTTGATGCAAGTGCCTTGTCAAGGTTGGAAGACTGACCAATAGGTCCCAGAGAAACATCTTTTGATCTGTCTCCTGGATCAATTGGAATTTTATTACACATGAGGAGAACAATACTGCACGAGCCCTCGAAGTGGAGCGCACACAGATGACATTTTTATTCATTCTCAGCCAGATTGCCTGGTATTGTGTCCCTTCTGTGAAAAATGACACTCTGGCAACAGGCCACTGACTGCAAAGCATCTTGGCATGGGCCTCCTGTTTGTCTCAGCCTGAGCTGAGCATCACCAGAGATGCCAGACTGCTGGCCACGAGCTGAGGGTGTTAAAGCACCATCTTTATCAGCTTCTCACTGCCATTTTTTGGTAGGAAATACTTGAGGGAGGAGGGGTAGTTCCTGACTGTTTAGATATTTGGTAGCATCAGCAATGGAAGTTGGCTCTCCCTTTGGGACGAGCAGCAGCTCTCCTGGCTGACAGGGATGTTTGTCAGAGTTTGTCACATTTGTCACAGTCCTGCCAACCCTAAAAACATTGCTTCTCAGAACTTCTGATTCTGTGCTTCCCATCCTCCTTTTCTTTCCTGCTGTCTCAAATGGAATGTTTAAAAGTGTTCAAGGGATTAGGAAGACAAATCTGATTGGCTTCCAGTTTTATCTGAGCCATCAGAGTTGCTGCAACATAGGCAAAACCTCATGAATTTCTCTCAGACTTTTCAGAGGGCAATCCCTCAGTCTGTCTGACAGGGAGGTGTCCTGGCGTGTCTGGGGACAGGTGACACTGAGCCGTGGGTTCTATTGTAGCAGGACCCTTGGCTGTCAAAACTGGGTGTAATACTGAGACATTTCCATCATTATAGAATAGTCCATATCATAAATAATTTTTCTGATGTCCCTGTTGAGTCTTTCTGTCTTCTGAGAAAAGAGTTTAAATGAAGCAAGTGGAGGACTTTCTTCTTCCAAGCACAACAGTTTAACCCACCTGGACCCATTCCTGTGTAACCCACTCCACCTTAGCCAGCCCTGGCATGGGCATTGGACTGGCTGATGTCCTTCCAACCCTAACTATTCTGTCATTCTGTGAACTATTAATTTTGTAAGGTCCTCAGATTTTTATTCAATTTAAATATTTTTTGTTCCATCCAAGTAGGAGTGTGGCAAGGTGTGAAACAACCTCCCCTGTGCACTAGGAGACACTGGACTGGAAACTGGATGTGAATTAGTCCTGCCTGCTGGAACCAGGCTCCCTCTGTGCCTACTGCTGTAGAATGGGTATTTCTCTAACTAAATAGTTGCATTTTTCTGAAGGAAGGACAGTATCTTTGCCTTCAGCTCTGATGCAGTGTGACATGTACTGTAGGACCTGTCATCATTCATGAAGTCAGTTCTGTTTCAATGTTAATAAGTCCTTAATCAAGACATTTGTTTCATACAGGATGTCACATTTAGCAGGGAATTGTCAAATGCTTGAAAACTGGAATCACAGGAGCACTGTTTAATGCTAAGTGGTATCTGCATCATCTCTGAAGCTGGAACATGCCAGGAAAACATCCTTCACATTCTGCACTAGTATTTCCAAGCTTTCAGGACCAATCATGGGTTGGCTGGGTATGTACACTATTTCTCTCTGTTTATGTGTGGCATACGATTATATCCTATATTTAGTATCTTGTTCTCACATTGCTTATCTGTTCCTTTTTTTTTTCTGTTTTTTTGTTGGTTTTTTTTTTTTTTTTGTTGTTTTTTTTTATTTTTTTTCTTTTTAAAATAATACTGTGCAGCATTGCACCAGTCACTTAAAATCAAGATTGTCACTCTCAGTCTAATAGAAAATAACAGAAATTTAAAACTGGTGCTCCTCATTCTAGTGTGTTTGTGATATGTAAGGAAAAATAAGAGGCTTGAGCCAAGCAGCTGCTGGTGGGATTAAGTGGGAAGCTGTCCAGAGAGACCAGGTTTATGATTATCATCTCCTGTTCTTGATGTTGTCTTCAAGAGGAACAGAGCTAAGGGCTACAATAGTATCTCTAATATCTAGTTCCTGTAAGTCTTTTCCATCTGAAAAGAAGAAAAGGAAGTTATAGTGAATTCATGGCAAATATTGTCCCAATGAATTTTCCTTCTTTCATTTAAATTGCATGTAATAGTGTTCCTGTTTCTATCTGCAAATAGGTGCATCACAGTGTCAGTGGAAATAGAAAACACATCTGTATGTAGCCCATCTGTTGCTATAAAGCAATGCCAGTATGTACAAAATATCTGCAAAGTGGAACATTGAGAAGTTTTTTTTTTTTCCTTAGGGAACCATTAGTGTTTATATTTTAACTCTGCTGTACTGGTGTGTCTTTTTCATGAGCCAGACCCCTTGTGGTAGATCTGTGAAGACACAGAAGGAGTCCTGGTCATATCTGTGGGCAAACCATTTTGGTTTGGGGTTTCCCCCAGTTTCTGTCCTGAAAAAGTCAGTAAAGAATAGTTTTAAAAAAGAGTTATAAAATACTACTGCAGATTATATTTTGTGTTTCCACAGTCGTTCCTGGTTCCAATCAGTTGATCAAAAATACTGAATGTATTAAGGGTCCATGTTTTCTTAAAAAAAAAATGTTGTATTCTCCTAAAAGCTCTCTTTTCCCTATAAAATGTTCTATTTGAATTTAGTCCAAGTCATAATGAGTGCTGGAGCAATTAAAGTATCAGCCACTATAAGGAGCCTTGGGAGCACAGGAGACAGATAGGATCAGGGTTTAAGCTACTTAAATACCTTTTATGAGAAATAAAGATTTCACAAACCTCAGTTTCAAACAAAATAGTTGACATATGCTAAGCTCAAAGTACTAAACTTCTTCTCCTGCCCTCTCCCACTAAACAAATAGCGATCTATGAAATATTTAAACTTTATATGTGCAGGAAGAAAGAAAACACTTTGTTTCTGTTTAAAAATTTTTTGGCAGGTGCTCAGATATTTATGATAATGGGATCATAAAATGACATGGAAAGGTTAGTGGGAAGGTGTGGTGGGAATTTTGAGTGTGACTTTGTAAAATGTCACTTTGTTAAATCTTACTCAAACTGTAGCCAGGGTGTTTGTTCATTTACATGGCCTAATATAGTTATTGTGCATTAGAAACTCTTAAATCAACAAAGTGTTTGTGTGTAGGGCTGGATCATGCCTTCACATGCTGCAGTCAGTTAAATTCCTTTAAGAAAGGAAAAGCCTTTTGAATATTTTTCATTAACACATACTATTAAGTGGGTAAGTGCTCTAAGTATATTTTAATTTAATTTAGATTTAGCAGCAACATTTTTCCCATACTAATTAAATGCCAGTTTGTTATTAAGAAAATATTTATTGAAGTTGAACTTGGTGATAGATACATATCTATCACATCACTGTTAAACCTCATTAAATAGTGTTTTAATTGCAATTTGTTTTTAATTACCATTCATTAAGCATATTATTAAATCTAAATTGCATGCTTATGAAAGACGGGTTTGCCAATACAAGTGGCTGAGTCCCTTAACTACTGCCTTGCTTTTAGGTTCCCATAATTTGAAGTGTGTAGGGTGAAAGTTTGATCTATTTATATTATTTCTATTATTATCTCCCTCGCTGCCTGTGTCTCCTGTCTTTATTAACAGAATTAATACCATCTGAGGCGTCAACAGATATAGAAGGAAAATAGAGTATGAAAAGTGGTGACAAAACAGGTCTTTGGGCAAGGAAGCAACAGCAAAGAGGGAGCACAGGCAGGGAAAACAGCAGTTAAACAGGGCACTGAAACCAATTGTCTGACCTGGAAGAAGGAGAGGATGGGGACTGGGAGCCTGAAGGACGCAGAGAGATGCTGTCAATGATTTGAAGAGCTTTTTCTCTTTTGCTTGTTATGGGTAGTCTGGCCAGGGTCAGTCTGAGACAGCCCAGTGGCTTCTCAGCTAAAAGGTTTGCTGGTCCCAGTCTGGATCTGGCACAGCTGCCAGTGCAGGAAGGGTTTGTCCTCAGGTGTCCTCAACAGAGCATTCTGCTGGTGGCTGTACAGCATCAGTTCACAAACAGTAGTTACAAAGAAAGTACTTTCAAATTTTCCAAATTTTTTACCATAGGCAGCACTGCCCCGCTTTAGAAACGCCACTCAAAGGCACAACCACATGGGATGTGTGAACTTGCTTTTCTGGCATGTTTGCCAGATTTCTTAGTAGTAGTCCAAGAATCTAAGGTAAGCTGGAAAAAACCCATGAGATAAAAAGCTTTCTCTTCTAAGGATATCAGCTCTTTCAACAAAAAGACCCTACTGAGTTGGGTTTTTAAAGGCTGGGTGGTTTTTTAAGACTTAGAAGAAAAGAGTCTTTTGGAGCCTTTCATCTAGAAATGACACTTGATTTTTGCCAACAGGGAGGAAAGGCTGGGAAGAAAGGTGTGAGGTTGTTGTTCTGCTGGAGACCAGCTCAACACAACCAGTTAGCAGGCTGGAGAACCATTCCCAAAGGAGAAAGAGAGGCAGTAACTGACAAAAGGCATGGGGTGCAGCACTGGCATCCTCTCTCATGCCACTGCCTGACCCTCTTGGAACACTCGGGGAGGAAATAATGGGAATGGGGGCTGCTGGACAGTGCCATAGGGGTGAAATGACATTTGTACATGGAAACAGCAGAGCCAACCTGATGTATTGCCAACATTCCCATGGGCTGGATAAAGAAAGACAGTAAAACTCTGCACGTTGATGCTCTCTGGCTCTGGTTCTGCTTGCACTGAGGATGGTTTTGTGCCAGGTTATCTCCATTGACTCCAATGGATTATCTCCAATTCACAGTGCAGTACAAATCAGAGGCAGGACATCATTTCTCCTCTTTCCAATTCATGAATCTCTTTCAAAACCTTCTGTAGCAGATGTTACAACTGTAAGCAAATTATCCTGGCAAACCAAAGTATCTCCTCATGAGTCTGTGTCACAGTAGGCCCTGGTGCCTCTATCTGCCTCTGGATCTTTTGCTCATAAACCATTAGTTATACGGTTTTTTTGGCAGATGGGTATCTTCCATGAAAAAGCCATTTCCATTCCAATGCAATAATGCTTTTATATGGCCTGTTTCAGTCCCTGTTGCACAACCTTTTTGCACAATGATTCATTATTCTATCTTCTTGATATGCTGAATCATGGGATGACACTTTGCCAGCTGCTTTGTATGCCAACAATAACTTGCTCATGTTTCAAAGATAGAGAAGGCTGCACAAATCACTGCAGCACAGGGAGCCTGGACATTTGGCTGAGGGAAGTTCTCAGCAGGCATTAAACTGCTCGTGGATGGGGGAGTTACCTCTCAGCTCCTGCTCTCTTTGGATGGCTGCAAGGAGCTGCATATGGCCTTCACTTGTCTTTACAAAGCTGGAGAAGGATGAGGCTCCTGTTGCCTCTAAACTGATGGCAATCAGCCTCTCCTGCACTGTGGCCCCTTAACTGAGAGGACATAAATCAGTCCACATCTCTGTGGAGCATCTGCACTCAAAGGCTTGACTTAGCAGAAACGTGGAATGGTGGAGATGACTTCAGAATTACCCACACAGATACATCAGGTGCCTCTGTGGGATTTCCTGACACCATCTCCAACACGTTGATGTGAGGAGGCAGCTAAATTAATCCCTTTCCTACTGCAGTAGCCTCAGGAGTGCACATTCCCCCACATGTCCCTCCACAGCTCCTGGGCACAGGGGTGCTGGGTTACAGCACAGCTGCTCGCTCTCCATAATTCAAGGCTTGGGTAATGATTTTTAACTGCTATTTAAAAATTAATTTGCTTTTGTCAGTGATGCACAGGATCCTTGCTGAGGTAAATGATGCTTTCCCTTGGCCATTTTAAAGTTCTTTCTGATTTGTCTTTGCTAGGAGATTCTAACAGTAGCTATTTATCTGATCACAGAGAATTTGAGTCCATTGGGTATAGTCACAGCTGTTCTGAGAAAAGCAATAAGATTTTGGTCAGAAAGGAATATATTACACTTCTTGAAAGCAGGGGTTTTAAAGGAAATTCTCTTGTGGTTTTAATATTTTTTTATTTGAATGCTATATTGTAATTTGCAGTGTACTTCAGTTTGTAGCACAGCACAGTGTTATAGACCTTATGCTCTTCAGACAGTAATTTGAAAAGCTCTTGGTTTTCTTTTGAAAACTGTAAACCAATGAAAAAGTCGAGATTAGGAAGGTGGCAGCCTAATAGACCTTGAGAGTACATTTGCACATCTAATTTTTAAGTGTAATTGCTACAAAAATCTCATATGCAAAAGTACCCAGTATTTATAAATGTTATAACCTGAGATTTCTATAAGACATATTCCTCCCCCTGAGCTTATTGCATGTTCATATTCCATGACAATCTGTCCACGTGCAGTTAGGCTTTGATGTGAGATACAATAGAGATCACATTTTAAGATCACTGTGTACATAATTGTCTGACACATGGATGTATAGAAAAGGTCAAAAGACTTAATGTTTTTATTCAGGGCATGGGAAACATTCTTCTGATGGATACTATATTTCTATAATATAGGATTTTCTTTTTTTTGCTTTGTTGCTTCTAGTTCAGTGCCTTCAGCCTCAAGCATCCTGCATTACTATTCCTTGTATTTATATGTTTATTTGCTTGTAACTTTATTCCTCGTGTGTCACCTCTCTTCTTTCTCATCCCCAAGTGGTTCTGCAGGGCTGCCCTGCCACAGAAGTGGGTCAGCCCAGCTCCAAGGGCTGCAGAGTGCTTGGATGGGGATCCACCTAGCAACACCACCACACTAATGCCACATTGGGAAATTTGCCCTACAGGAGTTTGTCTTGATTAAAGGCTTCGGTCTGTCTTTGCAACACAAACATAGGAGCCCCCATGCTGCTCTCTGAAATTTACAGCGTATTTTCTTTTTACTCAAGCATATTGAAGCAGAACAGAAGAAAGGATCAAAGGTACCGTAATGTTTCTATAAACAAGTACTACTTAGTTTGGTTTTTTTTATCTTGGGTTTATTTTTTTCCAAACAAATCTTCTAGGCACATTAGGCTCAGATTACATTTTATTGCCAAATCACCAGCTGGCAACAAAATCGCATATGTCTGTGTAAATACAGTGGATGAGAAGCTGAACAGGAGATGTGAGATGATTCAAGCAGTCATATTGGCTTCTACACCTTAAAGTTTGACTGTTTTATCTGTCTATTCAGCAATGTCCTGTACAGACCCCATTTCAGCATGAAATACTAAAATCTCAGCTTGGGGTAATTCTGTCTGTGGTTTTCCTCTCTTCTAGTGAATTTACAGGAAAACAGATAATTCTCTGGGACTATAACTCAAAAATTCATGTTTTGTTTCCTCACCAAGTGATGACTAATCCACTCCCTGTTACTCAAATATAGGTGTAACTCTGGTGATGACATTATTATGAAGCATTTTTACTTGGAGGGCCGGATGATCCTTTGAAGGTAATGCAATTTTGCAATTTGCTTGAGGGCTCTATTTCTGCCTTTTGGGTACATTTGGATTCACTTGGCAATGAAGCCTCAACATTGATTAATTTATCATTAAGGTCAAAGTTGCTATTCAGCCCTTCTTTATTTGGAGTTAGACATCGGCATGGTCACTTCAATTTGTAAATTCAGTTTCTTCATGCACCCCATAATTCCCAGGGGAAAAAAAGCTTGACCATTATTAGGGAAACATAAAAAAAAAAAAAATAGTAATCATCATTGTGCTTCTAAAAACAGATGAATTAGAGCATATTTTCTGACCTGGGGTATGATACAGAGTTTTCTCCATGCAGTCATGTACAATGAGTTTGTTTTGGCTAAAATTATGCTCCTTTTGGGTCCCAGGTGAAAGAATATCTGTGCCATAAAGGAAGAATAAGAGTCTCATCAAGGGAAGATGTTCCTTAGCAGAGCTGGGTAACAGGACTCCCTTTGTCAGAACAGTGGCACAGAAACACACAGCAGCTCTCAGGGATCTGTTTGAAGGGGTACTCGTGCCCTCAGTCAGTAAACTCTTAAAGAGCTTAATTAATGAGCAGGGAACAAGCTCCATTATCTGGGAGGTGGAGAACAGAAATTAAAGAGGTTAAAGAATAAATGTGATTTGTTCCTTGCTAAAACTTTCTAATGTTTGTCTTTTCTCTAACATCCTTCTCTTAGGAGATTTTGATCCTAACTGACTTCTCAGCCCTATGATGAGTTGTGCTTTTTCTGTCAAGGTCTGACCTTTTTTCCCCAGTGTTTCTCTTTAGTTTGTAATACAACCTGGGCTGTAATGTGGGGGAGAGGAGCTGCAGTTTTGGAAATAACAGTGCATACCCACTAGCTGATGCTTTTCCCAAATTGGCCAGAATAGAGAATACTTCCTGCCCCATTCAGAATCATCTGCATAGAAAGATAAAACAGGAGTTAACAAGGGTCAGGTTTATGACAGGGAAAGAAGGCTGCTAATGACCATTATCTATGCCACAGGTTTAACTTCATTACTTTTGCATTAAGTTCTTAATGCCCAAAGCAATAAGCAAACTGAGTCCTGTTGAACTGTAGTAACCTAATCTTCTCTCCAAATGAAATAGAGGGGAAAGCAGACTCATTTGGCATGGCCTTTATTTTGTCTTCTCTTTCCCCATCCCCCCCTCACATATTAGGCCTGTTGTGAGTTTCCCTTCCTTCTCACAGCCTTTTTCTTTTATCTCTTTCCTTTCTTCCTGAGTTTTTCGGACTGTCCAAAGTGGTATTTGGTGCAAGATTTGATGAGAGGATTTAGGCCTTCCATAGAATGGGTCTGGGGTTTGTCACAGGGAGAAGTCTCTCTTGGTAATCTTTTGAAGTACACAATTATGCAAATTATGTCCAGAATAAAAAGCTTTTAATTCACAGTTAACTAACTGTGGGTCCCAGTGAGTCAGATCTCGGAGAGAACATTTGCTGGGTGTTTTGAAGTGCCATCACACTTTTACATCCCAAGGACAATACTGGATGATTATATCCCAGTGTGACTGATTGGCACATACCAGCCTGGACTCCAAACATGCTCTGCCCATTCTCCAGCTGCAACCCCTGATGACAATGATGAAGTGTTCAAGTCCAGGCTGGATGGAGCTCTGAGCAACTTGGTCTAGGAAAGGTGTCCCTACCCACAGCAGTGGGGCTAGAAATGGATGATATTTAAGGTTCTTCCCAATCCAAGCCATTGTATGGTTCCATGGTTTATGGCTCTGAAGTTGTACCACCAAATGTGTCAACAGTTTAATCTTAGTGAGCAAAGAACAAATACCAACAGAGAATTAAATATAATTCCTGATTTAGAATGAGATCAGTCATTTCAGCTAATTTCCTTTTCACCCTCAAATTTGACAAAAAATAATGAATTTCCCTCTTCTGGTGTGGCCTGCAGACTTATGCTCTGTAGGGAAAGGAAATGAGCTGAGTAAGAAGAGGGAGCAAAAGTAGATTTCTTAATATGTGAGATTCCCAGGCCAACAGCCTCAGATTTTGGCAAAGGGTGAAATCAACAGTGCAATTTTTTAGGGTTTCCCAACAGAATGAGAGGGAGCAAACCAGTGCTGGCAGGTAACTGGTGCATCTGTCCAGTGTGCAGGGAATACATTACTGCTCCTAGAAAAAGGATCCCAGAGTGACAGATGCCTGAGGAACATGCTAGAATAGATAGATAGAAGAAAATAATATAAACTGTGGAGAGTTAAGCAATGGATGTGAACACCTATGTTAAAACTCTATCAGGAATGCAAGGTAATATCTTACACTAATTCAGTACTGTATGGTCACCTCTACATGAGAACCTTGCACTCTGAGGAATAAGTGCTGAAGGCCGAACATTTATCTTATGAGTTGTTCCCTGTTTAGAATGATCAGGGTTGCCAGATACTTGGGACTCTCAGAAAATTGTCCCTCTGTAATCATGTTTCCCTGCCATGCAGCACAAAAGGGTTTAGTTTCCTTGCCCCTTTCTGTCTCGGAAAGGACATATCAATGTGGTTTTTTCTGTAGCCAGGGAACTGTGGCTACAGTAAGGTCCATGGTATTACAGCTAGGATTGATGTATTGGTCTGACAGGCATCATCTGTTTTAAGAAGTGGTATCTCCTCTCCACAGACCTGTCTGCTTCCCAAATGCTTGACTTGACTCTACAAGTGCTTTTTTTGGCTTTTACTGGGTACAGGTTCTCTTTTAAATCAGCAGATTTATCACTATTCTCCCAAATGAGGTATTTCTTGTTCTTTTACAACGAGAGTCGAGCTACAAGGCATGTCAGTTCAAGCTGCTGGGAATGCCAGAGGTAGGAAAGAGGGAATGGTGGATACCTCAGGTCTATGTAAATAAGAGCAAATGAAATGGTCTCTATCGTGTCTTTGGTACTGACTTGTGAAGCTTTGCCTCCCTTTAAAGGGAAGGAAGGGAATTAACTTCATCTTTGCACTGGGATATCAAACTCCAATCTCTCCCACTTGGATAAGTTTTTTCCTCTCCTGCTTCTCATTTTCTTTGTGTTTTTTTTCTCCTTCTAGACATGAGAAACAACTTTGTTGGATGCCAAATTATGTGTTTAATCACTAAACACCTATTTTTTTAACAAACAAGCTGCCATAATTCTGATGTTCAGGGTGAAGAGGGCTTAGGGAGAAGCAAAACTTTTTTCTAGGCATGCAGAGCAGATCAAGAACCCCTGTGCAGTGAACTATATCTGATTCAACTGAAATCTTGTTCAGCTTAGGCATTTAATTACTGCAGATGTTCAGGAGATACTCTGAGAAGGATCCAAAGGGCTGGGCCCTTTGGACAGATGCTGTTTGCTTTGACACTCCATCTGGCACTTTAAAATAATCCCTGAAGCTTCAGCTGGCATCACCCTGGAGGGCTGGCACGGAAGAGGTTAAAAATGAGGCCAAGGTCACGGCATGCCATGTGTGGTAGAAGGTCAGTGGATAATGATTCCCTTCTTGCTCTCCCTTATTTTCAGCCCTGTCTCTGCTGCATTACACAAGGACTTGAGTTTTGCTTTCTGGAGGATCTTTCAACACCAATGATATCATCCCCTCAGCTTTTTATATCCTTATATCCAGAGTGTACTTTGAAGATGAGCAAGATATGGCAGCAAATAATGTGTATGGTCTAAACCAAGTGAAAAACTTGGTTGTTTTATATAACAAACAGAGATTTGGGACACCATTGGGACCTACCAACAAAACATATTTATTAACTGGCCTCAGAGAAGCATAGTGCCTTTGGAAGGTTTGTTAGATTTCTCAATGTCTTAGTGTAGATCAATTATTTGACTAGTATCACCTCTCCTCTTGGCTATAGGGTTGTGGCATGTGGAGCTTTTGGCAGGATATTCATAAACACCACCTAGTCATGTTTGGTCAGTGAGACATTTTTCACTCAACTGAATTGCCTGTAACAGTGTCAGCAAGCTGAGAGCTTTGCAGGGCACCAAGTTTATATCATTATTGGTTTAGATTTAGAATTAGGTACTCCTGCCTGTAAAAAGAGTTATTGACTCGTAATTAGTTGTATTTATGGTTGTTGCATTTTTGTCAAGACTGTGTTGGTAGAGGTTTTCCCCAGCCTGGTGAGCTCTCTGCCACTTCACCACATTCACAGCAGGGATATTTAGCAGTTCTAAAAGGGTTTAGAAATGACCTCTTGTGAGGGAGACCTTGAGGTTCGATTGTCTTTTCATTCTACACCTCACAAATAACCAGTTTTTGTATTAGTCACCCTGGTTTCCAGAAGGGTGGCAGGGAATAGCAGCTAATATGCCATCTTGTTGCTTTATCCAGGTCATCAAGTAGGAAATATTCAGCACAGCTTTTTTTTTTTTTTTTAATTGTCCATGACTTGGTTATAGGTAAATACATCTTTTCCACTCCTCATTTTCTTCTAAGATCTAGGCCCTATCTAAGTAGATTATAAACATTGATTTAAACATTCAGTCATGCAAATCTTTCTACGAGGTTCAGTAATAGCAGCTAGGTCAAATTAGTGCTCATAAATGACTAATTCTATTTCCTCTTGTTTATTACCCAGGTTTTTGGCATTGTTGTATAGTTAATTAAATAATTTCTTCTTATTATCCTCTCTTTGCATTCCGTGCCTTCCTGACCATAGTCTCCAAAGGAAATCCATCAAGGGCAGGGGTTACTGGTGCAGCAGTTTGTAGATGGGGCTCAGGGGCTCTCCTCACCTCCCTGGGGTCCCTCTGAGTGAGACCTGAGCATTGCAGCACCAGGAGCTGTTGCCACCTCTGCAACTCCCCTCCTGCATCCAAACTGAGAGCTGAGGGATGGAGGTCAAGGGCTCCCTTTTGGTCCTGTAACATGGAATCCTGTCTCTGTCTCTTCTCTGTTCTCCAGAATTGACAGATTATTATTCTCTGTCATTTTTGGTCCTTACCCCTGATTGAAAGGGATGTCTGACTTCAAGGGATGTGC